ATGACAGTTTAGGTTTAAAACTCTAAAATGTGAGTTTTTTTCCACATACTAATAATGCATTTGATGACATTTTCGATGGCGAAACATTGCTTGGCTCATCAAAGTCTCTAAACAGTACCTCTCGAATCGTTTTCAATTTACCACACATAAGTACCACAAACACTTCACTGAAGACCTTAGCATGCTTTATAGCCTGCCTACTTTAGTAAGACTATCTCAGCTGCGGAGGATTACTTAAGGCACCGTCCATCCAAAATGTGATCGATGAGATTTTGATGCCTAACAGTAGTGGGGCCCCCAGCTGTATACTTGCCCAACTCGCGGTGGCATAAGTTGCTTCCGAAGCAAGAAAATTGCTTCAACAATCGCTATGGATGGCGGATTCGCCACGATGGTTCCTCCCCTTTGAGTGGGCGTGACGTTGGTCCCGCCTATTTGAGCGCACCTAACCAATCACAGTTTCGCACAACTCGCCTTGGGTTCTCCGAAACTGGGTTTATCAAGGTTTTCGCGGATTCTCGACTTGATATTCAGAATCAGAGACATGAGAAGGCCCCAAAACGACAAAAACATGGAAGACGAGAATCTGGGTGGATGGCGCCTTAAAGGCACCGGTCCTGGGCTTCCATGTTTTTGTCGTTTTGGGGCCCTCTCATGTCCCTGATTCCGAATATGAACTCGGGAATCCGCGGAAATTCCAACAATCCCCTTTGAGCCGCAACTTGGGCGTTGGCTTGATAAGGGGTTCTACTGTAGTAAGCTGCCGAAAGCTCAAGATCCCTTCATTTAGGGTGGACGGTGCCTTCAACAGGTGCGCATCGCCTTAGTAGAGCGAGCAAGATGCGCCCTGCAACCGTATGTCAGTCCCTCCTCCTCTGTCACCACCTCACGAATTTCTGATAGATTTAGTCACGGTAGATAAAAACTGGATACTTCACATGAACGACAGGGCAATGTTTGGTGTTGAGATTTTTGTGAATAGATGATTTTTGAAAACCGTGTGCTTTTGCAAGTACCATTTGATTCAACTGGCTTGGCTTCGGGAAGGCGGGGTTTCGTGACCTAACTCAGGCTAGGTAATGATCAGAGAACACTTGCGCGAGAGAGGCGCAGCTGCGTCGCGGACGCGAGCGGTCTTAATTAGATCACAAAGCCTCGCCTTCCCGAAGCCAAGCCAGTTGAATCCAAGGTTAAATCTCTATACAGTTGAATGGCAATCACATTTTATTCAATAACGATTTGAAAGATAGATCAATAAACTGTACGTACTGTAAACTTCTCCTGTCTCGAAATTTATACAAATTCAAATTCGTACGCTTCCCTTCGAAAATGGCGTATCTCTTCCAAGTGATACTACGGTAGTCTAAAAAACTTTGACTCTCTTTTTAGAAGAATGCCAGTAATTATCACCTGCGAATGTTTGCCGTCTGCTTTAGTGCTCAATAAATGAAGAACCTTCTTTCGCATGTCCTTATTGAGGATAATGATCATATAAACGTTGATGTATGATAAAAAACCACTGACCAGAGGAAACACAGTTCTCATAGTGAAAATTGGCCCATCCTAAATAGTACGAACATACTCTTATTGTCCTCGAACGTCTAGGACGACTGGCCCCTAACAGTATTTACATAAATCAAATGGTACACTTTGAGGTAAAAGGTAAAGATAAAGATAAACATAAATCTCTATTTTGCAGCTAATGTTGAATGCCGTTCGTGCCTTCAAAAATGTAAAAAATTCTGTAAAATAGCGTCGGAGAAAAACTATTGAATCTTTCACTGGTGAGCCTTCTCGTATGAAGTAATTTTTATTGCACAAATCTAGACGAGTGGTTTACATTTGAATTGGTTCCTCACACCATAAATCCTGCTTCAAATAACCATCAAACTATGGAATTATCAGGTTGGCCCGTAAGTTCCGTCCGCTTTGATTTTCAACAATAATTGGCGCATTTCTTATATCTGAATAGGCTTCAAAGTACCATTCGATAGAGCTAAGTAAGCTTTACAATAGGGCGTTCTTGCTTTTACACCAGCTTTAATCCACTTTGAGTCTGAAGCCAAAACTAAAGTGTCCAAATCTCCGAAAAATTGAGATTAAAAAAAAATCTTACAAAGATTTTAACTTGCCATTTAAACAGGGATAGCCGTGTTTTTTCTTTAGGCAGAATTCATGGAAAAGAAAATTTTTATGCTTTTGTCAAAGTGGTGCTGTGCTATACCCACATACCCACACAAACAATCATATACCACTAGTCTGTAGGAGTACAAAGACAAATTTCCAGCTCTCCAGAAGCCCTAGTTTTCGACAAATATGAATTGTAGCCTAAGTCAGCCGACTGAAGGAAGCTAAATTCGATATTTTTTGAGAATTGGAGCTCTTGAAGAGCTGAAAATTTGTCTTTGAACTTCTACAGTCTAGTAGATACGGTTATTACTTGTGTAAGCAGAGCACATCATCACTTTGGTGAAGGCTTGAAAATTTTTGTTTTCATGGATTCTAATTAAGGAAAAAATACGGCAGTGGGGTATATAAATTTCTTTGAATAATGTTTAAGTGAGCAAGTTAGAAATTTTTGAGGATTTTTTTGGACGGAGTTAAGACTTCTTCTTGTTTTTTCAGGCAGTTGAACCCTTTCAGTTTTCGGCTTGAAACTGAAACGGTTCAACTGGAGATGAATTAGATCTGGTGCAAAAACAAAAACGCCATTTTATTAGGTCGTTCCGAAAGTAATGTCGCTTTTTTCAAGCATATGCCACATCTCGTGGAACAAAGATGTGTAGGAGATTCTGGTAGCATTTGATGCAACATTTCATTCTCTTTCTAATGGTTATGAAGTTGTTGCAATACGATCAATGAGCTCCCAGAAAAGAGTCAAAATCTGCGACCTATGCTTTTTGAGATGGCCAAGTTTCACAATTTTTCTAAGAATTATAACAAACCTCAGAAGTAATGGATGGATGGAGCAAACCCTACAGGAAACAGCACAACTTTTTTCTACTTTTCAGAGCATAATTTTTGTACAGATTTTTTGATGGAACCACCGAATTTTAGCAGGCTCGTCTCAGGCAAAATTGCATCAAACGCCAACTAGTCTCCGGATTTTGAAATTTACAAAGGTGGATTATGCTTTGACAATATTTTTACAAACCAAACGAGCATTCACCGCTTCGGTTTAGCAACTTTCGAAAATTTCGGGTAGACCTTGGGGTGCCTTGGGAAACCTGAATTATGATGATTTTATCCCGGAAAACTTGATAAACCGGAAACAAAAAACAGAAAGAGGGGAAAAAACTGCGTCGAATGACACCTCAGTTCCTTGCCGATTGTTGTTCTTTGAGGTTTGAGATGACCAAATATGGAGTTTGGTAGCATTGGGAAAGTCATTCCAGAAACTCTAAGAAGCAAGGTAAGGAAAAGAAAAAATTGATTTGTGTCCTATAAGGTTTGCTCTATCTCATTGTCACTTGTACTTCTTTGGAGAACATGTACAAAAATTTAGAAAAATAGCCGAACTTGACCATGGGAAAAAGCATGGGTCGCAGATTTTGTTAATTTTTCGAGAGCTCATTGATTACTATGCAATGAAATTAGAACCATAAAAAGAGGATGAAATGCTGCATCGAATGCTTATAAGATCTTTTGAAGATGTTGATTCCACGAATAGTGGCGTTCATTCGAAGAAAGCGACATTACTTTCGGAAACGACCTAATATACAGCTTGCTTATCTCTATCGAATGGTACTTCGAAATACATTTAGCTATGAGAAGTACATGATTTATTGCGACCTGTTCTTTATACGTTGCCACTTCTAAACCCTACTCTACAAACAAGAATTTCACTCAGATGTGTTTGTCCTAGGGAAAGATATAGTCGTTTTTTCTTACCTATGCAAATGAAAATATCGCGAAAATATTAGGTTACGGTAACATGCTAAGTCTGCGCTACTAGGTGAATTGCACGAGAAGGTGGCAAGAGTGAATATTTTGGATAATCGAAACCTCGTAATTTGCGCGAAGGTGATTTCCTGATTGGTCTTTTCTAATCTGAGATAGTCAAAGCAAAAAATGGGACACTCGAGATTTTGGCTCGCTCTTAGAGCGAGGCAAGAAAGCATTGCTTTGATGAGCTGAAAAAAGTGATTATCTACTCGCTTATTCAAAAGGCTACGCGCTGTCAAAAAAATTAGGACGATGCAATAATGATTGCCAGTGTTCTACCGACTCTCAGAAGAAGAACCATTGTTTCGAAAAAAAACTCCCATCCTGAAGCTCTTTGAGCCATTGACAAGAGTAACTCGGTGCCCCAAGGCATTTTTAGAATAATCTTTAAAATTCATATTTTTCCCAAACTCTTGCACACAAGACGGTCTATCAAGAAAGAAGTCTAAAGCTTCAAATCCTTGCCAAAACAAGTGTCATTCAGAAGACCAGTCGCCTGTGATGCACAAGCTATTTGAGGTCATGGTAAAAAAAAATTGTGGGAGACGTGTTGTCGTTGAAGAATCAAGTGAATAGCCCGTATGACTTATATGACTTCATGTTTTCACATCATTCAACAAATAAGTTTGCACGTAACGGATTGATCGTCTGGTAGCCAGCTCTTTTACCCGAGAGTAAAATCACTCACATTACTTTCGAGGGAGAAAATAAATTGCATTGTATTGTAGATAACACACATCACAAATGCAAAAAACAGACCAAGCATTTGCACATAAAGACGAGTTTCTCTTTTGACAGATCTAAAATTGTAGGAAACCAGTTTGATTTACATCCTTGAGATCCTTTAAAAAACACGTTGATCCTACTTTTATTATAAAAGTTTGTATCAAAAGCTCATATCACCTATAAAGACCTAGATAACCGATAAATTTGTCATCCATAAAATGAGCTAAGTGATGAGAGCTAATGATGCCGCTTTTTTGTTTTTCCAGTCAGTGAAAAGCAACATTCTCCTTTTTTGCAAAGTCTTTTTGATTGTATAACGCTTGTAACACTCACAATTTCTTATTGTGCCTGTTATTAACCAAAAATTTCAACACGGCACCATAACAGAAACAGCATATCAGGAAGGATATCAATACAAAACATAATGTCATCGAAGCTGCAAGCTGAAATTGAATTTCATAAATAAGCGCCTTGAATCTGCACAGCTTGAAAGGCAACACTCAGCTAAATGCTATGTTCAAAGGTTAGGTATCCTTGCAACCTTTTGTTTGATGGTATATTTCGAAGTACCGAGAAGTAAACTCCCCTAAGCTAGATTACTTCCGCTTAGTTTCGTTCATGTATTTCATCTTTAATTCATTATGAACATTGATATCAACGTAAAATTTCAGACATACCATTTTGATTCAACTGGCTAGGCTTCGGGAAGGCGGGGCTTCGTGACCTAATCAGGGCTAGATGATCAGAGAGCACTCGCGCGAGACAGACGCAGGTGCGTTGCGGGGGCGAACAGCCTTGATTAGCTCACAGAACTCCGCCTTCCCGAAGCCAAGCCAATTTGAATAACGGGTTACATTCAGAATGTTCTCGTTGGAACCGTGTTTTATTGTATCAGTTTGGAAATATAATTGAGTGAAATGTAAAAACCGAATAAGCTCAATGACTGTTTTCTGTTAATAAAATAGACAAGCCCTTCATGAATCTTGCATGGTATCCCTGGATTACAAACAACAGAAAAAGCGTATATGTATGTCTTCAGTATGAGAATGAACAACTTTCTAATCCCAAACCAGGCAGGACCCTGTTTGCGTTATCGTTCACTTGACCCTCACCGGGGGGTAAGGGAACACACTCCGCCAGTTTGAACCGCCTCTTCCTGCAACGACATGCAACAATATAGCAAAAAGAGCAGTTGCCAGCATACCTTCGATACATAGAGCCATGTACTCTGGTAACGTTCACTTTGAGCGTCATGATAAAACACGACCTTTACCTGGAGAGAAGTACAGAAGTCATCCGGGGCGAAGCCCCGGATATTATGACATAATCAATGACATAACCATATAGGAATGAATATAAATGAGGCAAATATTGCAGAGATATCCAAAAGAAGCTCAAAAAACCGATGCATTGAGTTTTAATGGCCTTTTTTGCTGAAAACAAGGTTTTTATTCAAAAATTCAACCAAAAACTAGGACAAAATTTCTCCTTTAACATTTCTCTAAACTGCGATCGCGCGTTAGAAGTCCATGAAAGCTCTGGAGTTTAATGAAAACGAGAAACTGCGCTCAAATCTTGCGCAGAGAGTCGCCACACAAATGCTGGTCTATCTCGTTATGTAGTGATTTTAGAGACCCGCGACGTTGTCAGTGCTCCTGGCCATGAGGATCAATAATATATAATGTTGTAGGGTTTCATTATGACCCTGCGGAGATCAATGACCAGAGCCAAATGCCCCGCCGGCTCTGGTCTGTCTCCGCTGCTCGTCTGCGTTTCCGCACGTAGCGCGCTACCTCGCTACCTCAAATGCGGGGCGCGGGGCATTTGGCTCTGGTACCCCTTTCTTCGTTGTTCGGAGCCCAATTTCGACAATCTATATATCATATTAAAGCTCCTGATCTCTATTTTTACGCTGACAACGTCGCAAGACTCCTTTTTATGATTTAAAACGAGAAATCTGGGAAAAACGGCGTTTTCGAAAATCTCTTGTTTTTTCTTCAATGTAACTCTTTTCAATCGGTTTTTTTGTGTATTCGATAGGTCTTGTTTCTGTCTATGATGTAGACAACGTCGCCGGAGCTTACTTCTTTGCTTATGTCAGTTTTTTTGGGAAAATTACTGAAAAGTGCGCTTTTTTTTACGTTGTCCTCTTTCAGTGCTTTTGCAACGAATTTTCTCCAGCTTGGACGATACTTGCTCAGAATGATGAGCAGAAGAATCCAGACAACGTCGCAGGATACGAAACGACTATGCAGGGTTGATAATTTAAAGGACGCATCAAAAATCAGATTGGCGTCAATGTGCAACATATCTTTCCAGACGTGTTTAACATGTTCAGTTCAGTTGTTGACAAGTTTTCCTTCTTTCGGTCTTACAACTACAGCTGCAGCTAAACAGCGTTTCTTTTTTTGAATGTAAAAAAAACTTTGTTCTTGTTGCCACCTAATTTAACCGGCAATCAGAGGAAACTGTGCGTAGGAAACTTCCAAGGTGAGATTTCAAATTTGTTGATGTACTAACCTCTGCTTTACGTGAATTTTTCAAGTTTCCCGATTCATGTATCTCTAAATTTCCATCTAATTTTCTGAAACAACCTTCACTTTTCAAAGCGGGCAGGAACTCAAACAACTATCACTTTCTAGCCCCTGTCTCTTGACTATCGAATGTATGGTTGCCAGCGAATGCGAGCTCAAACTGCCGGAGTTCGTTCCCTACCCAAATGAGTGCAACCTACCGTAATGTCTTCCTTGTTGACAATCGTCTCAAGACGTTCTCTAGACAAAAACGTAACGTCTTTGATAGTTAAGATTGGAATGGAGTAAATGATCGGAAAAGCCCACTGAATCAACGGTAAAATCCACCAATGGCTCGTATTAATAAGCTGAACAGAAAACATTACAGGATCTCGAAAAAAATGATTTAACTACCTGCTCAACTCCTGTGCCTTTCTTACACAAAGAAATATATCTCTGCAGCGATATCACTAGGATGCCGAAGCAGCGAAGAATTACGGAGCTATAAGTGTTTACGAAACACCATGCTGCTACATATGGTAGTTGGTAAGTCCAAAAGAAATCGTTAACAAGGCCGGATGAGCGAAGTGTTCCAAATATCAAATAATTTGTAATTACAAGAATATCAATCGCACCCTAAATGAGCTAAATGATGAGTTTGGTGCTCTAATTAAGTCAATTCCACTGCACCTGAGATATGATCAAAAGATAAAAGGTGTTTTGCCTCCATTCTTTCATGCAAACCATGATAATAAATATGTAGAGAGGAAAGGAAATGATTGTCGCTATGACAAAGATTATATGCGTCGAAGATATCATCAGCTCTGGAAAAACACACGTGTCTAGAAGAAAATTTCAACTGGAGTTACAGCTTATTATATCTTTCAATTCTAAATCGGACTAAATGTAATTTTTTTTTGAATTTATGGCAAATCAGGCTGCAAATTGTGTCAAGAGGGTCTTTTCAAATCAGTACAAGACCGCTGCTATGACTGGTCCATCATTTGTCGAAAATTTGGACATAACATTGAAACTTCGTGTTATTTTTTACACCCCTGAGAGAGCTGGGGAGACACATCTGATGCAAATATAACTGTAAGCCATAGAATGATGAAGCTTATAAACAAGTTGCAGAAGAAGAATGTAAAGCTGCTCCCTTATTGTTTTCCGCTACATGAAGTAACACGGTAGAAAAAAGGGATTTTTGCCGGAGAAAAAAGTACAAGCAAATGCAAGACTATTGCGACGTTATAGTTTAGTTTACTAAAAAAAGCTTGCTCTTTTGCGTAAAAGTTCTGACACCTAAACATGGTTTATTGCTGGACAAGGTAGCGTTTAGTAAAACGACAAATGTTGGCCTATGACTGCATGTAAATGAATGTGGCATAGCACAAACACAGGTGATTGTGCCGTCTGGAGGAAGTGACAACAGTAATGTTTGGTTACAGCATGTTTTCGACAAAGCAATTGCCAGGAATTCAATAAACTCCATACGGCTGAACAGATTATGGGTGTGGTTTGATCTTTGAAAGACAAAATAGGTATGTAAGATTTGCTCGAGTATAACGCACCAATGCGAGCCATGACAAGAAGACAAAAGTTTATAGCCAGTACCTCCATGCTAACAATAAGACATCAGTCTGTTACAGTCTGTACCACTCAAATTGAAGCATCGAATTTACGAGACCAGTTTATCTTTGTTTTTACAAACATATTCAGAGAGGAAAGTTTTGCAAAGTTGAGCTTGTAGATCTTCGCATGAGTCCTCACGGACTAAGAACATAATGAGTATGATAGCATCAAAGCATATTCGCTCGCATATGTTGAAGGGAACGATACATTTATCTCTCAGTAAGAAATCGTTTTATTACATAGCATGAATGCCAACAGGTCAAGGGCAACCCTGATAATGAGTAGGTATATGTAATTCTCTCATTCAAATCTGAGAAAATTTTCAAAACTGGATATCCATTCTCACGTATTCCGCTAATATCCGAAGAATTGAGAGATTCCTCTATGGTTACTCTTTGGTAGGCTTGATTTGGTCTTACAAGGAAACGATACTTGGTGTCCGTGGCCTTTTGAGATGAAACGCATACCATCACAATCGTCTTGGGACGCTGATTCCGAATCTGACTTCCGTTTCTGCTAATCGTTTCTCTAGAAGAAGTTATGAAGAATTTTCGCGTCAATGGTCGCCTAAAAGAAATACGGTCGCCGATGCCTAACTTTTGAAAAGAAGCTTGACTGAGGCAATGCAAAACTTAAAAACACAAAAGGACTCGAGACTAAGCCTACATTAACTTCGAGATTATCGCACTAGCCACTACACCACATTTCAGCGACGGTTTTGAGATTTCGACTACATCTCCTTTGGCGCGAAAATCTTCCATAACTTTTTTTCCGAAAAACGATTAGCAAAAACGGAAGTCAGATTCGGAATCAGCGCTCCAAGACGAGTGTAATGGTATGCATCTCATCTCAGAAGGCCACGGACACCAAGTATCGTTTCCTTGTTAGTCAGGCTCCTTATTTTTTTGATTTGCGAGCTCGCACATATCCTGGATCTTCAGGCGATTACAAGTATGACAAAGAGCATGCAAACAGCATGTCTAGCAGCCAATCGTTTATATATCATTATGCTCGGAGTTCTGTTTCCTCTCAGGAATGGTTGATTGGCCGAGTTTTGTCAATGCACTCGCTTCTCCCACATACAGCTGCTCAAATTCAAAAACCATGAAACACTTTGTTGCGAGCACGGGCATGGTACACATCCATCGAGCCTTTACGCTGACACATGATTTATGAACAGCTTGATAGACTTGATCGACTTTTTGCATATGCATCCCTCTCGGAGATCTGCTTTCTTCCCAAAAATTGTTCGGTTGGCAGGGTTTCGTCATACACTCGCTTTTTCCATGTACAATTGCTCAAGTTTATCAAAGGGCACTTTGCTGCGAGCGGGGGATGGGACACTCCATCGAGCCTCAACACTAATATATGTTTTCATACATGGTCCAAACAAGTTTAATCCCTTTTTATCCTTGTACCATCCGTGAGCTGGACATGACTAATTAATGAATGTTGCATTGTCGTTTTTCGTTACTGCTTGTGTTCTTGCGCTTTTGTTAATCGTTTTAGACTGGCACGCCTTGTGCAAAATGAATGAATAAATAGATCGTTTTATGGTTTTCAGACTTGCTTAGCTTTTTCTAGTTCCGATGATGATAAATGTCTCGCCGATGAATCTGATGGATCCGATGGGGAGAGGGAGCATGGCTCGGCACGAGAGTGGTGAACGGACATTTTCGAAACGAATCTGCCATTATGACTTTGCATTTACGGTAATATCTCCTGCGTGACGAAGGCGGTTGCCCAAATAGGTTGAAGGCTGTCGCGCACGCGGCGCGCGGGCAATTGTCAGCCATGGAGCGCGCGCACGCTCGCACCAATAACGTGGCCGGCTGGCTGTCGTGCTGCCTCAGACAGCGGATAGGACCCCTCCGCCGGAGAAATGGCAGGGTCGCGGCGTATCCTCAGCGGTGGGTCTCCCATTTGTCCGGCGGGGCCCTCCCATTTTCTGCTCCGGATACCCCCTATTTTCTGCTCCGGATACCCCCCATTTTCTGCTCCGGATACCCCCCATTTTCTGCTCCGGATACCTCCCATTTTCTGCTCCGGAGCCCCCCGATTTTGTGCGCCGGAGCCCCCCGATCGCGGCATACTGTAATTAGCCCTAATTAAAGGCAGCTTCCAGGCAGATCTGGACCTATGGGGCTTTTACATGGAAAGTACTTTTGGGGCCCTAACTAAGGCACTGCCGAAGCAGCAGCTCAGGTAGTGCTCCAATGGCTGAGATATTCCCCTCGAAACAGACCCCCGCGAACGTATTCGCATGGATTCATGGCAGTTTCGCGCCAGGATCCACGTTTGCGCCATGAATCCATGCGAAACACGGTCGCGGGGTCCGGTTTCGAGCAGAATATCTCAGGCGTTAGAGCACTACTTGAGCTGCCGGTTGGGTAGTGGCTTAGTTAGGGCCCCAAAATACTTTTCATGTAAAATCCCCGTAGGTCCAGACTTGCCTGGACGCTGCCTTTAAGCTCCAAACCCCAATTTTGTCTCTAAACCCCACCCAAATAAGCCGAATAGGACCCCCCCCCCGGGTAGGAGTTTAGCGCGACCTTCACCCCGTACTCTACCCCCTCCCCCTCACCCCTAGCGTTTGTGGATAGAAGATAGAAGAAAGAACGAAGAGATAAGACATTTATTTCAAATCTTTCAAACTTCTTCGAAAAATCATCTCATATCGTAAATCATTTCACACCCACTGGTGTAAAAGAATGAACCTTTCCAACTAAACAACGGTTTGTGGAACAGTTTAAATTGCAGTCGCAGTTGGCCCATATTATCTATTTGCTTGCATATGTGAAGAACGAATTGTTCTCCACTGATGTCATCGGGAACAGCGCCAAGATTGAATGATCGATGAGATAATGATCCACCTGTTTAATAACATAAACGTAAATGACGTTGCTAATGATTAGAGAAACTCACTTGTAAGAACACAACCTATCCAACATGCATGATAGTAGTTCATTGAGTTTGAACCTCGGTTCCGTATGTTCTTCATCATCAGGAAGATCGTAAAATAGTTAGATAGTTTTTACCAGGGTACTGGGAAGCGACACTTGCATACGGCGTTTATTATAGCCTCGTCTTCACTGAAAGATAGATCATGATTTTTTTTAACTTCACAAAAATTATCTGAGATCAAAACGTTAATAAATTTTTAGTTAATGCAAAGTCATAACTGAACTCACGTAGATCAAGAAAAATATAGAATTTAGGAGAAGCCATCCTCTTTGGGAAGAAGACGGCTGTAAATAATCAACAATGCTAGATGCCGCTTCGACGGTACCATGACTGGCCGCTCTGTAAACGCTATGAATATATCAGCTATGAAAACAAACATTACGCACCTCTGTCTAACTTCTCTTACTAAAACACTGCAGAGAAACGTAGTGAAGTTCAGAATTTCTTTGGACTCCGCTTTCAACTCGGCCGGCGTGAACATGGCCATGACCTAGAAGAGGCAGACGCTATTGTGATAAGTTACAAAGCTATGAAAGACAACAAAACAAGGAAGAGCAAACATTGCAAGCACAGAAAATGTAAAAGTTAACATGGAATAGAGTAAAGAGGAAAAAAACATTCAATTCACGAACCTTCGTAAATAATGGCAATAAACGGTTTGGGTCAACATCTCGACATCCTGAGAGAGGTATTCGCATACATTCACTGAACGTTTTCCGCAAGTGCAAGAGTGTCAGAGTACGATCACCCTTATCACTCATTTCCGATACTTCAGCGAGCGTTGAGTTGCGGAGCAATCTGTGTAAGTAATGCACATAGGTACTATCAAAGTGACATGTAGCTTTGGAAAATCACTTCGCCTTACTTGGAATATTGATTACCATTACCTATATTATGTAAAAGTCAATAGTATCCAGATATGTAAGCACCAAATGAACAAACATTGGAAAATAATGTTGGATGAAAAGACTGGAAAGCGAAAGATATTCCCAAAAACAGCGCATTATCAATGGTGACACTTGGTCCAAATGCACTACTTTCATGTCCGATGAAGCGAGTGACATTCTGCTTCCTTAGGCACCCGCCATACTTACCCCTCTTCCGCTTGATCCGCTTGCTCCGCTTCTTGCAAGACGCGTGTAAAACGCGCGCACTCAGTAGTCTGTCATTTGGCGCCGCGTAGGTAAAAAGCGATCTCGGTGGTTAGGCAAATTCGCTGTACGTGACGCCAAATGACAGACTGCTGTGTGCGCGCGTTTTGCACGCGTCTTGCAAGAAGCGGAGCAAGCGGATCAAGCGGATCAAGCGGATCAAGAGGGGTAAGTATGGCGGGTGCCTTAGACATGAAAGGCTACAAAGTACGAGCAAAAAAGAACAACAACTTCTCTTGTAGTGCAATGACGGCAGTTAGTTGAAAAAAATGACAAGATGTTTTTTCCGTATCTCTCTACTTATACCATCAAGACCAGAGAACTATAGAAAACGCTAACAAGAAAGCAGAAACCAAATGAGTGAGATGAAATGACGCTGACGTGCTCCACCGCCAAGACCGACACCCAACGAGAATGTGCGATTGGACCAGATGACCTTAATTTGACAGCAACTATGATTACGTGGATGACCAAAGAAGCTATCTGTAAGATACCAAAAACATTTCAAAACTGCGCTAGACTCTTGATTGAAATGACAAGGATATGTTGAAACTATATGTTCTACAACCTTGATACCTCAGCAGTACTTTTTCTCAGAGTAAAAGACTTTAAATTCAAAAAAAAACGCAACATTCAACCACTCTCAGCGTATTTCTAACGTAATGAGGAGAGAGGCCCCAACGCAAATTGGCAACTACATAGGTACGTGGGTGGATTCGCAAAAGCTTTATACGAACTGATAAAGTTGATTGATGAAGTCAGAATTAAAAGTACTAGCTATTATGATGACCCGTAGCGATAAATACGGATTACTGATAGTACGAAAACAGAAAGAAACAAAAGCAAACAAAAAATAAGAAATCATTAGTGTCGTTCACGTTCAAGGTTATGAAAGACTAATGATTTACCTTTGACAATGGAAACAGAGTGAAAACAGCGAAGGACTTCAATCACTCCATCTGCTCGCGCTTTCGTGAGCTTGGATGCGTTGTCCCTGTGAAATTACTATTTCACACAGATCACAAGCTAAATGAATGTTCAATAAGTGATGTAAGCGAGATGAGATGAACAAACGAGGATTCGGTTTGCACTTAGCGCAGGTGCATATTGATCAAAACGAAGGCCTGGATGCACCAGAGAAAAAGGGAAATAATGTGAGATTATGCATAAAACATTGTAGCTTGAAACTGAGGAAAAATGTGAGATGAAAAGAATGACTAATGAGATCGACATGCATAGGGCAAAACCGAGCTGAGCGGCCCGGGCTGGTTAGAGATGCAGAGGGGGCCTAGTTAGGGCAGCGCGCAGACGGCTAGGCATCGATCATGATGAGGACAGCGTATAATAGTAGGAACAGCGTTAGGCCCGAGCAGAGTTCACGCGATTTCATCGTCGCGACTGATCCCGACAAAACAACTAACATATGCATGCCGATCTTCTTGCATTTCGGTTGTGATAGTTTTCCAACACGACTAATCGTGAACAACTATCACAACCGAAAATACGAGAAGATCGGCATGCAATGAACGGCAAAGTGATTCATCGGTGGAGATAGCAATAAACGGATTATTTAGACGATACTTTCATCACAACAACACTAGATAGTTGCGCAACTAACCTCATTGTTTCGAAAATCCAGAATTAATCACAAAAACCACTCCATCAATAGTCTACGATGTCTCAGCAAGTCGGAAAGAGCCAAACACTGAAGGTGATTGAGTGCAACCGCACGAAAATTTCAAACATAAACCTGAAAACGAGGAACTTACAGCAACATAAACGCCAACGCGACGAAGAGCAACGCGGAAAAGGAAAAAACGGTAAAGAAACGCGCAAAAACAACAGAATCAAATAAACGGCGACTAAAATATGGACAAAGAGCGTAAACAGAGGACTTATCACCGTGGAGTTAGACGTTTGCTTGCTACGCGCCAAATCGATACGCAGCCTGCTCCGGATACTCCCATTTCTCCGGCGGATACCTCCCATCTTCTGCTCCGGATACCCCCCATTTTCTGCTCCGGATACCCCCCATTTTCTGCTCCGGATACCTCCCATTTTCTGCTCCGGAGGCCTCCCATTTCTGCTCCGGACCCCTCCCATTTTCTCCGGCGCGTCTCTTCCAAATTTGGCGGACACGCGCCGCGCAGATCTCTGCGGCGCGGAGTCCGTCAAATCTGGCAGAGTCGCGCCGGAGAAATGGCGGACCTTTGCAGCAGGGCCGGAGAAGCCTCCCATTTGCCTGCCAGTGATGCCACCGCGATGGACCGCCCATTTGCCCTTCTCTCATTGGTCAACTGGGTCCGGCGCGACTCTGGCAGTTTCCGAGGGTCCGGCGGAGGGGTCCCGTCGATTGTCTGAGATGGAGCGCGCGCACGCTCGATCAGCGGTCATCCACGGAGCGCGCGCCTCAGACAATCGACGGGACCCCTCCGCCGGACAGTCCGAATCTGCCAGAGTCGCGCCGGACCCAGTTGATCAATGAGAGAGGGGCAAATGGGCGGTCCGTCGCGGTGACATCACTGGCAGGCAAGTGGGAGGCTTCTCCGGCCCTGCTGCAAAGGTCCGCCATTTCTCCGGCGCGACTCTGCCAGATTTGGCGGACTCGCGCCGGAGAAATTTGCCCGGCGCGAGTCCGCCAAATTTGGAAGAGCCGCGCCGGAGAAAATGGGAGGGGTCCGGAGCAGAAAATGGGAGGTATCCGGAGCAGAAAATGGGAGGTCTCCGGAGCAGAAAATGGGAGGTATCCGGAGCAGAAATGGGAGGTCTCCGCCGGAGAAATGGGAGGGCTCCGCCGGACAAATGGGAGACCCACCGCTGGGGAAACGCCGCGACCCTGCCATTTCTCCGGCGGAGGGGTCCTATCCGCTGTCTGAGGCAGCACGACAGCCAGCCGGCCACGTTATTGGTGCGAGCGTGCGCGCGCTCCATGGCTGACAATTGCCCGCGCGCCGCGTGCACGACAGCCTTCAACTTATTTGGGCAACCACCTTCGTCACGCAGGAGATATTACCCATTTGATCGCCGTCAACTGCGCGGGTCGTACGATTAGAGCGCGCTTTCTCTAAGGTGTTTGGTTCGCTGCTTATTTAACTATATGTAGAAATCATGGAAAACTTGTGAAATGAGAATTTTGCCATATTTAGGGCGGCATTACAGTGACGATTGTGATGGCTTACCAATTTTATGGTAAGCCGGTGTCGAGTTTGGTAGCTTTTACTGCGCCTATACAAAACACACTGACATGACAACTTACTTTGACATCGCGACCTCATCTGGGCAGTGGTAGAAAGCGACTTTGGATGGGTGGAGAAAAGTAAGGTAATGCAGAGTACAACAGCACTAAAAGAGCACTGATACCTTGCAACCTCGATTTTGCAGCTCACCCTATCCTCCTTCCGTAAAACGACCTCAAAACAATTTTCTTGTCAGCTACGCATTCCATGACATTAGCAGCAGAGCATGACTTCATATCTGCGAGTTAGGTCCATGTGTGTATAAGGATTTTGGTATTTGATGATAATATTATTGTAATCATTGGTAGAGTTCCTGAATGCTTACAGTTTTTTATTGTGCGACCTCCAATTGCTCTCATTCAGTAGTAAGATTTTTTTTAGGTGCAGTTTGAGAAAGGACATGGCTGAGAACTACGACAACGCTAAAAAAATTCGAGTTTCACCAGCAACCGTCTCTTGTCGTTTTCTAAAGCATGTCAGTTTAAATCGATGGTCCCATCATTAGAGAATCTAATCTACATTTAATTGCACATTTTCCCGTTTCGTTTTAGTCCATAATCACTGCGGGTTTCACAGCGTTTAGCTTTGGTCAGCCATAGCTCTTGACAGAAATTGTTGAAGCGCTTTAAAAAGTGTTACAAACATGTGCTGGTTGCAAAAGTGTCAGAAGTCGCAGTGGCTTTTCGATATAAGATAGCAGTGGTCTACCGAGGGGAGGGAACGCTCTCGTTACACTCTTTCCCCTTTCCCGAGACTGGGTAGCGAAATTTTCGAGTCTCTTACATGAGTTTCAAAAATGTGCACTTGTTTATACTTGTTAAGCAACCAAAATAATTTTCAAAGTCTTTCAAAAAATTCAATCCAGCCTTGCATAGAAGTCAACTTGGATGAAAAGGTTTGTCAATGCTCAATGTAATTCAACTCCTTCTCCAAGGTCATGCTGTAGTGCTTAACGAGCAATTGAGCAATTTACATGATCAAAGGGTACTTTGAGCAATTTGAAATTTGGGTGATTGAAATGCCCATAACCTCTGACCAAAGTTGCTCTGCAGCTAAGGTAGGCATTGTTAACACGTTTCGGACCGGTGCTGCACATGGTGCAGCACGCGCCTTTGAAGGATCTTTTCAAGTTTACAGGAGGTTTTCTTTTAGGGGAGGGGAAAGGGGGTCATAACGCAGTTATATTGATGAAAATGATAAGTTGATGTCTGTTAACATCATGACGCGTAATATTGCGCAATATACAAGCTCATTACATTACCTGTTACCGGTTACCCACAGTAGGCATGGCATGAAGAGGCTCTACCAAGCATAATAAGTATCATTTCAAGCAATGAGCATGTCGAATAACGCCCTTGACCAAATTTCGAGGTTTCCCATTTGGTTCACTCAAGCCGATAATTTTCATGCACAACTGATTTTTCTTGCGATAAGTTAGCTCTAGCAGGGCCAGATTCTCCGCCGTCTGGCTAGGGGATCCCTCCCCCCGCCATCCAAACCGGAGAGTGGTTCTTTGGAAATTGAAGATTAGGCTTAGTTAGTCTGCTGTTGTATAAGGAAAATTTTATCACTCTATCCGCTAGAAAAAATGAGGAAAACCTGCACATCGGATTCCGCCTGCGGCGCCGGAGGGTAGTAAGAACGATGTCAGGATCCTCGAAGCGCATTTCGAATTAGACAAAAACGACACGTTTGCCCTGACGACACGCCATGAAGCCGCCTTATGCTCTGCTCCCGCAACATCAGTCTCCACAAACGTCGATCTCCACGCTCTTCTCGACGCTGCTGATCACATCAAGTACCACGCCTTTTCTACAGGAAACGAAATCCAGGAAGAAGGGCGTGAGTGATGGGACACTCATCATTCGTGGTAAGAAGTTTCCATCATGAAAGTTGGAGGCGTTTTCCTTGTCGCTACCCATCTATCGTCCATATTGTCGATTCGCATGGGACCGTGTCACCTCGACTAGCCATCCTACGACTACGACCTTTACGTCAGAAGACCATCAGATCATCAACTGCTACTCATCAGCATCAGCGGCTGACGATTCAGAACTAGATGCTTTTCACGAAGATGTGGAGCAAGTCGTCCGCGACGAAAAGTCCTTAAGCTTGTCGTGGGCAACTTGAATATGAGAAACGGGATACTACTAAAAAAGAAATATGAATTGTAAGACTGGGGAATTTAATTATGGATCCGGAAGACGGAAACCGTTTCGTTGGGCTTCTCTTCGCCGTACAACATTTTCATGAAGATTTCATCTTTATTAAGAAGTAAAAAATGCCGGTGGACATAGAATGATATCCTCAAAAGTCCATAATGGAGGAAAATAGACTTCCAAACCCAATTTTCGTTCGCGGTAGAAACTGGTCGGAATGGAGGAAAATAGACTTCCAAACCCAATTTTCGTTCGCGGTAGAAACTGGTCGGAATTTATCATCGGCTCCACGATTCGTGTAGAGGCGGGGCTTTGCCAATTCAAAGCGTGGCGGTTTTTGATAGCGAGAGAGTACGAAAAACAATGCTATGACGTGGAGGTTTAACAAGTTTACCTGTGTTATCAGGCAAAGTCTGCAATACACCTCTACACGAATCGTGGAAACGATCATATTTTCGCTAGCGTTATCCAAAAGTTTTTATCTCATTGCAACCACGAGGCAAAGCGGTGTGATGAAAATGATTCAACCCTACTTGAGCTCTCGCTCGCGATAGTATGCGAGAAGTCCATTCAGAATGGGGCAAAAAGGGATTTACCTCTATTTTAAATAGACTTGAAAGCCCATTTTACTCCCAGCAGCAAGGTAAGCTGGGACCAAGCCCATTTTTGACCATCTTGCATATTTTTGACGGCAATTTTTTGAGGATGTGTTCCTTAGCCCATTCTAAGGTAACAACTGAGTGGAAAAAGTTTCATATTCTTTATGAAGTTCAAAATAAGTATTTCTTTCTAAACTCATACAAACGCTATAAAAGTCATGGAAGGAGGTTAAATTCACCAAAATTCGCTAGCAAACTCAAACTATCAAGTCGATTCGAAAATTCCTATGTGAATCAAATAACTTCGAGGATCAAGAAAGTCAGACGGCCGGGGATCTGGCCTGGCCGGCTCTTAGCTAGGCATCCGGCCAAAAATTGGAAGCGTCGAACTCCTTCACAGCTTGGAAGGCCCTGCCAGAGTATACACCCGGCTGTGCATCGCAATTCGGCACCCAGTGTCACCCTTACGACATGATGAGGCGGCCGACCATTGTGGGGACTATGCAGTATAAGCTCATTTGAATGCCGCTATGAAGAGAATGACTTGCTCTTTCAGATAAAAATGAAAATCGGTTGAAAAGAGCAGAAGTTATGAATTTCTGGAAATGGTGCGAACGAACTTTTGGTAC